TGCACCGGAAGGAATGCCGCTTTTGCATAGTTTGTGCTTGCTGTTTATTAATCATTTGAAACTAGCAAACTAGCAGCTCCAGTAGTAAGATTAAAGGATTTATCTTGAACTCTGTCACGGAAATTATGTATAAACCCTAATCAAACAATTGAATAATCAATTTACAATGAATTTATACCCGTGTTGTACATTATGCTGTACGCCGTGGATGAGCGCTTTGGATTGATTATTCAGCTGCGGGCGCCTTCTTCTGGCGAGACGTGGGAATTCATTCGGCGCGTGACTCTCACGGTGCATTATGGGCATTCTCTAGCCGTTGAGCGTGCACCAGTTGTACACTCGTTTTTGCAGTGCATTGTGGGATTGAATGAGTGCACTCGAGAATGTCCACTATGGTTTCGGACACCACTAAAAATGGCTGTTCCCTCAAATAGTGCCCTATTTAAGAGTATAGGGGGCGATTTCGGACATAGCCCCCGTGTTTCTGTTCTTCCTGCCTTGACCCAGTTTTCCGTTGTTCCCTGATTAGTCTATTCTGTTCACCTGTTTTGATTTAATTCTCCACCTGTTTCAGTTCTCCCTGATTACTTTCCATGTGTTTATATGCCCTGTGTTTTCCTCAGTTCCTTTGTCTTGCTTTAAAAATACGTTGTGGTGTTAATCTCCTATGTTATTCTGTATTGAACTCTTGGATTGATAATTAAAGACTCCCCTTTTGGATTACCCCTTCGCTGTGTGCTTCAGCCAACCCACATCGTGACAATTATAGATTTAGTATGTGTGGCATTTTTAGATTTTGCACAGTCTTGCGCACGTCTTGTCACATGCACATGTTCTCTAATGGCCTGCAAGACTCTCAATGCTGCAAATGCGAGTATTGGGAGTTCACGTGTGTGTGTTCACATATCGAGAGCACAGTAGCGCCTCACAGTGTTCCCTCTAGTAATACAACAGAAAATATACACTCATGACCAACAGCTTAGGATGAAGGAGATCTTACGTTCTGAAAGAACTGTTTTTGTTCCAGTTTTCTAATTTACGATAGTGACTTGACTTTACAGTCTCTCAGTAGTGGTCTTCTACTAGCAGAACATTTAGTCAACACAAATTTGATTAGACATATACACTCAGGTTCTCAGTATGCATTTAATTTGCATATTATTCATTGAATTTAGTTTCAGGTGCTCAAAACACGTGCAAAGATCGCCGATTTAAAAAAATGTCAGATTTCAGAATTTCTGCTGCAGTCATTGAGATGAATACGGGAGCAATCATAGCGGATATTTTTCTGCTTATGTTTTGTGCACCTCCTAGTTTTAAAGTATGAAATATCTTTTTCTAACAAACCTGTTTTCTTTCTTTACAATAGCTGACACTAGCTTTGGTGTTCCGTACCGATTTAAAAAAATGTCAGATTTCAGAATTTCTGCTGCAGTCATTGAGATGAATACGGGAGCAATCATAGCGGATATTTTTCTGCTTATGTTTTGTGCACCTCCTAGTTTTAAAGTATGAAATATATTTTTCTAACAAACCTGTTTTCTTTCTTTACAATAGCTGACACTAGCTTTGGTGTTCCGTTATCAAATTTAATTAAGTCCACAAAGACACTTAAACATTTACATATCATTTCAGCTCAAAGTACTGAGAGATCGTGTTTAATCCCTAATGCTTGTTGTGTGTCAAGCATGATCAAGTTTTACACATACAATTCTTCATGCTTCCTGTGTGTTTGTGTGCCAAACCAACTGGAGTGCAAGAGAGAGAGGAGAGACTGCTTTTACTTCTAACCCGTTCTCTCTCAGATCTCTCACTTTCTCACTTCTGGTCTCTCTCTTTGTTTCTCCACCTCCGTCCTGTGAGAATATGAATGCTCTCGGCAAATGTTCCTCCCACACACAGCATTCCAGGGGCAGTGAAAGCAGTCCTACACGCCGATGGGGAAAAATGTAGTGAAAAAAGCCGAGCTTTGAGATGCTAACCTTCTTGTATGACAATATTAAATAGTTATCGGCAAATCTCGTTACAAATACAGTGACGTTCAGTGAGACTTGTACGCTTATTTTTCTCTGTTGCAGTTTTGAGGTAATAATTCAAAGCGGAAACACTATATGAAATCCAAAAAGTGGCCGCAGAAAGAGAAAGTGGATTCACATGCGTCTATTTCATTTCCCTTGCAAATCATTCCCAAGTTCCCAGAATCTTCAAGCTCACAACAAATCCACCGGGCTTCTCCTCCTAAAACAACACGCACGTTTTCCATGTTTAATGGATACTCTCCATAGACTTCATGGTTTCTCGACTGTACAAACTGTACTTTCCATCTCCTTATCCTGTGCATTTTAGATTTTCAAAAAACTTCATTCTGTATTATTATAAACAATTGAAAATTTAAGATGCAGAACGTTTTCTGTATGAAAGTTTGCAGCATTTATAACTAGCTATATATTAAAACGATAGTTATTTAAATGGGGACATTCCGTAAACCTCTAAGTAAACGCTGTGCGTGTTTGTTATCCATCACTTGTGTTTCACTGTGCAGAAGCTGATTTCTAAAGGATGTCTGAGAGTGAAATGAGACCCGAGTGCCTTTATTTCATGCGCTTGAGTCACGTCTGCTCTCTCTGAAGAGTTCCTCCTCAAACTATCTGGCCAACGCAAGAGGAAACGAGAGAAAAACTAGTCTTCCTAAAGCCACCCACATCCCATCTGCTCATTAATGATCAGTTTTATTATTATCAACATCGCTGTTGTCACGATTATGAGCTGAAGTTTTTCTAATTGCAATACTGGTCATCGGGCTGTATTCCTGTTAAAGCGTACAGTATGGGGAAGAAATCCAGCCGTGTGCGTGTAATCATCCATTCACATCCCTCCTAATGACTGTCAGTTTTCCTGCCCCTCCATTTTCTGTCCAATTAATTCTTTTCTTACTTCCCGGAGAAAGAGAGACAATAGAGCCCTCCAGCACATAATAGAATAGATCATTAAAATTCAGCAGTTCTTTGCGGTGGCACCGTGTTTCCTCCCCGGACTGCTTGGCATGAATGCAAGACCCCGCTTTGAAATTCAACCCAGCAGAGCACAGCCGGACTCTCTGAATCTCTCAGCAGCTGACATGCATTTCCATGCTTTTCCTCATCCGAGTTTCTGTCCTGACAAACAAGTTCCATGTATGACTACAACGAGATTAGAAAGTGAAATATGTGACCACAAAACCAGTCACAAGGGTCAATTTTTCATCTGAACGCTAAATAAATAAACTTTCCATTGATTAGGATAGGTCAATAATTGGTCGAGATACAACTATTAGAAAATCTGGAATCTGAGGGTGCAAAAAAATCTAAATATTGAGAAAATCATCTTTAAAGTCGTCTTAGCCATGCATATTACTAATCAGAAATTAAGTTTTGATATATTTACAGTAGGACATTTACAAAATATCTTCATGGAACATGATCTTTACTTAATATCCTAATGATTTTTGGCATAAAAGAAAAATCTATAATTTTGACCCATACGATGTATTGTTAGCTATTGCTAAAAAATATACCCCAGCGACTGCTTTTGTGCTCCAGGGTCACATATATTTGTGGAACATGAATATGACTCTTGTGTTGGAACGGACAGATATGTAATTCTCTCAAAACACGTCATTAAACAGAATCACAATAACGACTGGGAATGTGTCTAAAGTTAGGACGATAATGTTGATCCAGGATCAACAAAAGATGTTGATCCATGAATAGGGTTGGGAATCGTTTAAATTGAATCGATTCCGATTCTGCTTATCGATTCCGATTCTTACCGATTGCCTGTTTTGATTCCAATGTGGTTAAAAATATAGAGTACAACATTTAGATATCAAACGTATTCTTTTTGCAAAACATTGAACTGCTGCTGAATTCCATGAACAAAAATCAGCCAGCTACATAAAAACTGGACTCGATTAAGAGCTGTTGGTGTGCACGATTCTGGACAAATTTAGTCTTTTTTTTTTTTTGTTCTCTCCCAAATCTGAAGAAAAAATATTAGACAACTAAGCAAAATCTCATGGAATTTATGAATGGAACGATTCAATGACTCACTCAAGACTCGTTACTGGATGAATCAGTGTTTTTGAATGAATCTCTAGAATGAATGATTCAAAGACAAATAGCTAGGCTACATTTTCAACAGCCCCTTTTCGCCAACTAAAAAAAAGGAATCGGTAAGTGGAATTGAAATTAGAATTTTCGACAAGTATCCGATTCTTGACCTTAAGTATCCGATTCTGGAATCGGAATTGATTTTCGATTCCCAACCCCATCCAGGAACATGTCTTACTTGGCGAAATCATGGCGACCGTCCTTCGCAGCCAGGCCTCACGGCCTGGATAACGTGGTGTAAACCGGCTGATCCCAGCTGGTGGAGGGACTGTGGGAGGGCGGGATGGACAGGCCGTTGAGGATGTTGCTCCCGTATGGCCTCCGTGAGGAATGGAAGTAGGGGTACTGGTAGAGACCGGATGGGTAGCCGGCGTATGGGCTGTAGTAGCCGGAGCTCTGAAGGTCTGTATAGTCGCTGGCGAACGAGGCGGAGGCGGCCGAGGATCCGTGAGCGCTGTAAACGCCGTACTCAGGCGAGTGCTCACTGTAGTGGCTCGGGCTCAGTTGCTCAGTTTTAATGCGAGCTCTGTGCTGGCTGGCTTCGCTCGTGCCGAGCGGCGAGGATGCCACGGGCCCCTTGCGGCTCCAGGAGGCCCCGC